CTAAATCCTGTTAAATAAATTAGGAAGTTATTAAGTGTTAAGCTGTAGGAGGAAGAGTTAAGATTTTTTTTTTCAGATACATTTGCTTCTATCATTCTTTCTACCCTTGGGTGGTCTTGAGTCTTACACTGCATTCAATTTCCTACTTCCTATTTCTTGAAGAAAAAGTTAAAATATATGTTATCAAAAGCTTCTCTTAAATGAGATATGCTGCTCCATCCCATAATCAGGTAAATGTTTTAAGTGGTGAATATTCCTAGTGAGCTCATGGCTTCAATTTTATTGATTTGGGAGCTCCTGTTATATAGTTAGTCAGGAATTTTACCGTAATATTTGGAATGCATGTAGCATTGATTGCTTTTCTACCTAAAATGCATCTGTTTGAAACAATGGGCAGCAATAAAAGAGCAATTTTTCTCCTTGCCTTAAAAACATAGCTACTAAAATTTAATTCTGTTGGTCATTGTGTGAGTACACAGAAGACTTTTTTTTAAGTGATACATGTTTTGAACTGTTTTGCTGCTAGTCTGCTGGCATTTTCTGTTGTTTGCAAACTTTATTAGTCATAACTTAGTTTCTCAAAAATAATAGAATGAAAATTACTCGTTCTATTGTTAAGGTCTAATTTTTACTACAAGGAAAGATTTCCTATCTTTGTTGTCATGCCTGTACCTCTCTATGATTTAATGCTTTGATAATATGGAAGATTACTGACTTTTTAGTAAATACTGAGAATTGTGGTAGTGTACATTTGCCATATCTTATTAGCAGAGTGCAGTAAAGTGATGCAACTTTTTTGAAGTCACATGAGGCATCAGTGACAGGGGCGAGATTACATCTGGATCCTGCATTTAAAAAATACATGGAAATATATTTGTTTTAAATGAAGAATATAGAAAAGCATATCAGTATACATGTATATTATTACAAATATATATTTAAAACATCCTTTTTTTTATTTATTACAGGTTATAGAACAGACGTTACTTTTTAGCACTGCAGCTACAGGAAGGATGCAATCTGCATCCCTCTAATTGCTATCTGGAAAAACGACTAGTCTAGTTTCTGGTTTATGAACTTGTGTAGTTTTTTGGCATGCAGACATGGTATATTTTTGTCACCAAAGAACTCTGTGGACTGCAGCAGTCCTTTGCTGTAGTCATGAGAATCTTCTCTCCCTTCCAAATTCACTCATTGCAGCAGCCTTAGCGGGGCACGGCTGTGCTGCTGTAATTTCGGATTTGGCGGTTTCAGGGGTTGCTCATTTCAGTGATTGGTTTCATTACTTGTGACACCAGCTAGTTTTGGGGGGCAGCAGGAGCAGCAGAGAGCAAGGCCACCAGCAGATTTCCTATGTTATTGCTCCTCCCATGTCCCAGTGTCATTGTCTGAGCTGAGGCATTGTAGCGGTGCCATCTGTGGCCCCTGCCACTGGTGCTTGCCTTTCCTCGCCTTCGCTGTAGCTTGGGATCTCAGCTTTGTTCCCTAAGCTATCTATTCTTCTTCATAATGTTATCAGCCTGCTGGAGTTTGGCTTGTCTGATGTGAGCCCATCTGAAGGGGAATGGGGAACAGTCACCCGACAGTGACAGCTGTGCAAACAAACAAGTCAGCGTTGATGCTCATCAATAGCTTTGTGCAGCCGCGGCATTGAGATGCAGCAGAACATGTGCAATCTGTCTGCCTCCTTTGTCCCACGGCACAGCCCGAGCGGCCACTCTGCGCTGATTGTCATGCCATGGTGTGCCTTCCACTCCTTCCCTTTCTCCTTTGCTTTTCCTGCCTCTTTGTGGGCTGTCTGGCTGCTCCCAAACACATCTGCCACGCGTCCCATCTGCTCTCCCTGAGAGGCACGCTCAGTCCTGACAGGCGCTATTCAAGTGGTGCGCTGTTCTGTGGAGTTGACAGAAAACACTAATTTGTATTATTAATGGCGGATCACTAATGCTCCCTGCTTCTGAAACACTGAGCAAAGTAAATAGGCTGGAACACCAACTTGTAAACTTGCTGGTGGGTTTTTCAAAATCCTGCATGCGTAGGTGAATTTTTCTCATTTCCACTTACCGTAGGTAACAGTGTTGTTGCTTTGTCTTAGACCTTATAACTTTTTCAAGACACTGTGTGTTTTCCTTCCAAAAAATGAAACATTTATTTCAAAACTTGTGTTCTTTCCTTCCTGGCATCAGTGGCAAGATTCTTTACATTAAGAGGCAAGGCACAAGTGTGTGTGATGAAATAATTATTTACTATTCCTTTGTCTTTCAAGGAAAAAATATTATCAGACCATTCAAAAAGTTAAAAAACCATATTCTGAAGTCGGAAAAAATTTAAAGCCTTGCCTGTTCTGCATGTCTGTTGGACAGCTTAGGGTTATGCACTCAACTCTTCAGGACATCTTTTCTGTGACATTTACTTACTTGCAGCAGGATCTTGCCATGTGCCAGTTCCCCAGTCAAGCTGAACAAAAATACAGTGGCTCTCTGTGGGTGAAGGAAGATGGTGTGCAGCACAGGCATAGATAGGCAGTAGAGTTGTTTTTGTTGAATCACTTCTAGCTTTGAGTCAGAGATTTGTGGAGATACCTGATCAAAAGTGCAGTTACTAATTAGTGTGAGTATTCAGCTCTGTCTGGTCCTATTAACTGTCAGCTGTATTCACCATGCTCATTATGGAGCTGTCACAGCTGCCTTGTGTACTGCTGCAGAGATTTACAGCGCGAAGCTGTGGTGAGCAAGGAGCAACCTTCTCTGTTACCGTGTTTGTCTGCAATGTGGAATTCACTGTAAGCAAGGGTTAGGTGTCCAAAGTACCAAGCTGGGCAGGATTTTACAGGGCTTCCTAAAAGGAAATACACATGCGTGCAGGGAGAGAAGTGATTCATTTTGGCAATGTTTGGTCCATAGCCTTGTAAGTCTTCCTTTAGTAACTCCCTGCTTACTCAGAATGTCACAAAGAGAAAAGTAAAGGTTGGAAGTGCAAGTCAAAGAAAAGGATGAGGCCAGGGAGGCTTCTAGCAATGAAAAAAAAGTTGAGCAACTTTTGGTCAGCTAGCCAAGCTGTGTCAGGGTACATTTTGGTTCTGTGCTTCTTGGAAGCTGCTATGTCTGGTACTCATGTTAACTCCTTGTGAAAGCTGTTATTCCACGGTGGCTGCACTGCTCTGCACTGTGTCGTGTTCAAGCATCTGACCTCTGCTGAAGAGGTTGAGGATGGACTTGTTTACGTGTCTTACAAAGCTTTTACAAGAGGGTTTTTTCTTGTCTTCTTGTTCTTCTCCTGAGAGCGTTGTAAGGCAGTATATTTTATCATCATACTCCAACTAAGCATCATTAAGCTGACAATGCCTACAGTGAGTTTGAGGAGGAAAAAAATGGATTGGGACTGCTTGAGAGAATAGTATCTGTTATGCTGCAAAACGTTGTGCATAGGATTTGTAAAATAAAATATATAATCACAGCATTCACTTAGATGTAATCAGTGGTAAGCATTAACTCTCCTATTTGTGCTTTTCAGATCAGCACCTTCAAAATTTATCAAATCAGTGTGTCGGCACTTGAAAAGCTGTGTCAAGGAGTTTAGCAGACAGACCAGGGAGAAGGGAATAGGGACAGCAGTTTATCATCCCTGGAAAGTGGTGTTAGACACTGGGAAACAGATAGGTGAGCTATTCCTGCAGGACTTTCTGTGAGTTACTGAGTTCAAGGCATCCTCTAAAGGGTTACAGATGTATTTGCAGTTGAGCTGTGTACTGTATCACTTGGTCAGTGCTTTGTAATGTGTATGCTTGTTTTTACTTTAAACTGGTTCCTGGTGGTTTAACTGGATGTGATTCCTTCCCCTCCAACCTTGTTTAGGGGTGTTGCCAGTGGGTTCCAGCAGCACTGCCTGACACTCCCACATGAAAATAGGGTGATCAGGCATGATAGTTAACTTAAAGATGAACCCTTTGTGTGTACCCTTGAAAACTATTCTGCTGCAATTTTCCATGACTTCCCTTAATAATTCAGCTCTGAATGCTATTAATCCAATCTCAACATTTCAGGAAAGTAATCAGCCTTTTCTCTGCCAAACTCATCTGTTCTGGGAAAAGCTTATATACAGATCTTCTCTGTAACCCAAGAATGCATTTTGAGAGAGGAAAGTATTTTTTTTTTTTTGTTGAAATATGTGGTGAATTCTCAACTTTTTCTCCTTTGTGTTTGAACCTGGCCATTACTACTTGAGCTCTGCAAACTACAGGAGTGAAAGCTCTATTACAGGTGGCCTATAAAGAGAGCAATCCTATAGAGGGCTGTGAATAAACATAGCGATTGTGTAATGAAGCCATTTGTCAGTGACTGCTAACGGGCCAGCCTTCAGATGAATGGTGGACTATGTAAAAATAACATGTTACAAACATGTCACAACATGATAGCAAATTCTTCCTGTTGATACCAGGCCTTATGAAAAAGGGAACTCTTCTTCATGTCTCATGTCACTCATTTCTGGTATGAGAGGGAGGATCTGGTCCATGAACAGAGTAGATCTTCTAGTGACCTTAATATTAAGAAATAATAAAATCAGAGGAAATAAAGGGATATTAAGGAGAGCAAAACACCTAAAATTATGTAGATTTTTCCTCTGCATTGTTCCTCGTTACCCTTTCTGGTGTGTTTGCTTTGTGAGACCACTAGCTGCCATGGAGTGTAGCCTTGCCCAGGTAAGAGGGAGGCACTTTGTGCTCTTCCACAGGTCTCACTGGAGTGCTGCTGTAGAGACATATCAGTGCTTTGAGAGAAGCTTGTGTTGTCCTGTTCATTTCCAAGGAATGGAGTTTCACAAAAAATCTTACTATTAGTGCTGACTTGCTCATGGAGCGTTTTTACTTACTTTGTCTTTGCCCTTGAATTCTGGGCAGTTGTCTCCAGAAATATTCTATGTGACATTTGCTCATGGCAATCTTACTGCTTGTGCTGATCTGTTGTGTTTTGCCTTTTGTTTTTCTCTCCCTCTTGATTTAGATGAGAGATCCGTGGAACAGCAGAATTTTTCCTTTTTCTCAACGGTGCATGAAAGCATATCAGGCAGCAGGACACAAACGGCCTTAGCAAGGAGTACTTTGGAGTCCCAGGAAAGTAATTTGCTTCAAACAGTTTTATCATCAGTTACCACTTCCTTTGATGGGACTTTACTTAGCCAAGAAGAAACAGCCATGATTTCAGAAGAGAGAAGTATGCCGATGGTAGATGTCTCTGTAAGGAGCAATGAGGCATTCCTAAGTGATGATGAATTTATTAGCTCCTTTTCAAAGGCACAGTGGACTCCTCCCGTGAAGTCTTTTGCAGTTTTAACAGATCATCACTCAGTTAATACAGTAGAGCCATCAAGAGAAATGTTAGAAACTGTGTTGCTAACACCTTCATTGTCTGTCCTTTCTTCACTGTATGATATCTCAGAAACAGCACAGCAGAAGACTCCGTTGAGTGCTGTCCCTGAACGCAGCCACACTCTCATGGAGCTAAAGCCTTTTGTACCAGATCCTGAAATACTAACAGCAAGCAGAGATGTGCTGTTGTACCCTCCAAATACAGCTGTTTCTTTCACTTCCATACTTTCTGACAGGGGAGTTGTGGCACAGGAAAACATCAATGCAAGTTTAACAGCTCTGCCTTTTGGGGATGCTTCAGTGGGATCTCCTCTCCATCTCAAGCTGCTGGGTGAAACCAGCCCTGGGGCCCCAGATGCCACAGTGCAAGGTGCAGACCTGTATGGTGATGTTTACACCCATGTGAGTAGCAGGGCAGCAGAATCTCTCAGTCAAAGGACTTACCCCACTCCAAGCATTCCCTGGCACACACCAGCTTCAGCAGCCAGTGCTGAGCCTGCTTTTTATCCTATTAGTCTTCCACTTGTGTCTTTCCCTCTTGATTCAGCTGCCATTTCTGTGAACTCTAAGACAGTTCTTAATGCCAGCCTGTTTACACGTGAATTCTCCACTACAGCACCAAATTTGCCTGCTGGTTCAGAAATACCAAGTCAATCAGAGCTTGCCAGTGAGCTCAAGAGTCCAGTGCCTTTCACGAGATCCTACAGTTACTGTCTGTATTGTGACTCTGTTTCCCTTCTGCCAGAAGCAGGCTTTGCCCCAGAACACGATGTGGGCTCAGGCGATGATGCTGAAACTTTGTCCATCAGAGCCTCTGAAGTACAAGGCATAACTGCATTTACAACTATAATTACTGATGGGTATGACTTAGAGGAACCTACACCTGAGATTTTTGATACTTCTTTTCCATCAAGACCAGTTGTTTCACTTTCTTCAAGACTTGCAGAAATCCCTGACTCAAGCATGTTTTTATTGAGCACTACAGACACTAGAACACCTATAACAATATCTTCCTCCTTCCATCAGCTCCCTGGGGAAACATCACTGAACATCTCTGTTTCCCAGACCCTTCCTGTTCTGGAAACAATTTCATTGACTCCAAGTGCTCATGTGGAATTTCCTGGTGCCACCACTGCTCTGTTGGACTCTGCCATCACCCCCAGCGAGCCAGTCACATCGTTTGCAATCAGTCAGACAGCCTTGCTGGAACTGCCAGAATTAATGCCATCAGAATCTGTGGTTTTGCTTGGCAAGACATCTACAAGGGATGAATTGTCTTTAAATATTTCAGATTTTCCATCCAATCTTTTATCAACGCCGTTTCTTATTGAATCTAGCTACTTGTCTTTATCGCTGACCATGATAAATTCTTACTCTGTCATGCAAAGTGATTCATTAACACTGTTACCTCAGACCTTGTTGACTGGGACATCAGTACTTCCTGAGGATGCTACCAGCTGGGACTTAGCCACCACTGTCAGCTCTGCCACTGATGCCGAGGTTTCTCAGTTACATCTTAGCCAAACACCATACTTTCATTCCAATACATCGTCCCTTCCAGATGCACAGGTTCCTGAAATAATGCCATCATCAGAGTTTCACTCAGAGTCATCTGTGTTTCTGGAAGCGTCCTTGGTACTGCCAGTGGGCTCTGAAGTTGTGTTTACCTCAGCTGCCACAGGAGCTACCTCTCAGTTGGAGCCTTCCCTCTCCACCTCTCCCTCTGTGGCTCCTACCCTGGTGCTGCCCACTCCCGACACCCAGTCTGTTACCAGCAGCATCTTGCTCAGTGAAACAAATCTGATCTCTTCGTTTACTACCTTCCCAGCAACTCCTGTCTTAAACATATCTTCATCTCTACTTTCAACTGCTCTGGGTTCTGATGAGGATATTGGTGCTACAGTTAACCCCACGCTGCTTTTAACATCTGGCAGCAGGGGCAGTGTCCCCACAGCCATTCCTCCCACAGACCCTGACATCCTTGCATCAGATGCTGACACCATCAGCATAACACCCTTTCCTACAGCATCTCTGCCTGTGACCTCATCGTTTGCTCCCACACAATTCCCTCTGACTGCCAGCCCTCCCCCTGGACATGAAGTTCCATCAGGAAGCAGTGTAACTGCTGGTGCTGATGCATCTGCTCCTTCCACTGCTGCCACCAGTGCTACAGGCAGCCCAGGGACAGTCTCCTCCAGTGCTACAGGCAGCCGAGGGACAATGTCCTCCAGTGCTACAGGCAGCCCAGGGACAATGTCCTCCAGTGCTACAGGCAGCCCAGGGACATTCTCCTCCAGTGCTACAGGCAGCCCAGGGACAATCTCCTCCAGTGCTACAGGCAGCCCAGGGACATTCTCCTCCAGTGCTACAGGCAGCCCAGGGACAATCTCCTCCAGTGCTACAGGCAGCCCAGGGACATTCTCCTCCAGTGCTACAGGCAGCCCAGGGACAATCTCCTCCACCCCTCTGAGGAGCACTACTCCACCTGAAGTGGTGGCTGTGACCTCTGCTGTGACAACCACCAGGCAGCCGTACGTCTGCGACATCACCGTTCCCGACGCCTACTTGGTCACTGCAGGTAAGATATCCCCAGCATTTTCATTTTGGTTTGCAGAAGCCACTGCAACATGAACCCCTAGTTAAATTGCAGATTTTGGATTAACTAAGTGGACCTTATGGTGTAAATTTAGAGAAGGAGCTGTAAAAGCATTGATTTATCATTTACTGTTAAAAATAATAGAGTTCACGTGAACAAAGTCCATTGTGAGAGAGAGTTACAAATACATTACACTGCACAGAGAATGAAATTGTCCTCAAAAATTGCTGATACAAGTGTGCTGAGTTAGAGGCTGCTGTATCACTTCATTGGTTGTAAATGAATGTTACTGTCATGGTACTGTTCTGCCAAACTGTTTAATGTTCTGACTGAGTAAGTTTCTCCTTTCAGTTTTTGCTGCTGTTTATTAAAAAACACCTGCATGTGAGGTAATGTTGTCATATGTAAGAGCAGAATTGGTTTAAAAAAAGTTTGGGTTTTGCAACCATGTTTATAATTTCACCTTACTAGCTTATGTTTGTATCTTACCTCCTCCCATACTTACTTTCAACTGGATTTGGTGTGTTTGTAACCAGAAAAAGTGACATTAGTGTGTTTCAAAATTAATTGTCCTAGCATCTGTGTTTGCTTTTCTGGTGTTTTCCTGCCTCTTCCCAGCTTGTTAACAAAACAGTGCCAGCAAACTAATCCAGGGCAGCTGCAGAAGTGCTGCATTTTTGTGCTGAGCAATAGTTTTTACTCTCAAGACTTAGTTGCAAGAATTAAAGCAGAATGAGCATAATCTTATCCTCCAGATATGTAGGTGATCTAGCTGTGCTAGGGATGAGGAAGACTTTTTTAAAATGTAATTTGAGTACTTTTACTTTTGTAGGCAAGTTATTGATGGAAAGTAAATGCAGGATGACAACACAACACTTTGCAGTTGTTTGCTTAACCCACAGTCACAGTGTCCAGTGTGACTGTAACAGACATGACATCTATTGGGATGTGGGGATTTTAAAGCTCTTTCTTACTCTGTGGATATCCCTTTCATTAATTAATGTCATGTTTGCTTACTTTTTATTTAAGAGAAAAGTAGATGCATATTTTCTGTGGCTTTTTTCTGACCTTATCTGCATTCCATGTGTTGCCTACAAAACTTTTAACTGTGTTATGACAGCGAGCTCACTCCCAAGTCAGACCAAATATGCTGCTACTTTCCCATTTGGATGCCTCAGTGGCGCTCTAAAAGTTTCTTTTATCAGAATGCTAAAGAGATTAGCTGTGGAAAATCAAAACAAGAGAAAATAAACTTACAGTTCCTTAAACTTTACAGTCACTTTTTAGGATACAGTCACACCTTCACCCCTGTCCTTTTTGTTCATCTTGCCTGTTTGATGCAACTGATCTCACTACCTGCTTTTTCATGCACTGCACAGTTGAAAATGCAGCTTTGAATAAAAACCTAAGAGATGAGGCTAAAAGTATTTTCTGACTGACATTAATTTCTAGTGCTGGCCCGAAGAGCTGTTCTACGAAATGTCACTGAATCCATCAGAGAAGTGCTCAGAGTTCAGTTCAGGAGATCAGTAGAGCTGGAGGTAAGTGGTACGAAGTGTGTACAAGTACTCTTTGGTCAATATAATAGAGTAGGGGTTTAGTTCAAAAGCTAAAACAGTAATTCAGACAGTCCATAGATACTGTATCAGAGAGAGCTTTAAGTTAAGTGGTAGTCACGTGTTGGTTGGTTTTTTTTAAATGTGAACATGATGTCAACTTTTGTGCTTTTAGACTGCCATAATTTCCTAGGACAGACCTTTGTTGGTTTTGCTAGAGGTGAGCAAGTCACATCCAGAATCCACTGCTCACCTCCTTTGCCTGGTGAATTGAAACTGAAGAACTTTTACCCTTCAAAATACCTGTTAAGCAGGTCTGTTTGTTCTGCTAGCTGATTACATATTTGGCCCTTTAAACAAAATGAAACCTTCTGCACAGCCTTGTGCTATTTTATGTTATAAGTGAGACCATCAACTTGTATGGGAGGTGGTGGAATCCCAAATGCCTGATTTGGCAGATGGAAAAGGTAAGGGGAAAAATCAGGAGTGCAATAGTAAGATGTTATTTCTAAGCCTTCAGGTAGGTGTAACTCCTGTCCTTATTCCCCTCACAAGACTAGCTGTACTCTTGGAGGTTTCTGAAAGTTTTCTTTGATATTCAAGGAATCATTTTTGAACAAGATTTCAATATTGTTTTTGAACAAGATTTCAATATTGTTTTCTAACTTCCAATTGTTCAAGTTAGGGTTAAAGGCTCTGTTCCCCACCTCTGTGTCAAACCCTCTGAGAGGAAAAGACATAGGGGTAGTTTGGGGGTACCTTTGTTGTGTAATCAGATACTTCAGTGGTGAGGAAATATTGCAGTAGAATCATTGGTGTAGATGACTTTCAGCTGCACTTGCAGTTTTGCATGCCTGTATTCATCTAGTTGTCACAGCCCAGTACCAGATGATCTTTTGTGAGTCAGTGATCTCATTTTTGTTCTGTAGTTAACTCAAGTAGCAGATCATTGAACATAACTTGTGTTTCTCTGTGCACAGAATTGCTTGCTGCCTTTAATTTTGGTGTCTCCCATGATCACTGCACTCAGTAATTAAACAACTCCTGTCTGATGTTTGAGCATGTACATCTCTACTACTCAGTCAAGATAGGAGTGTTATAAATTCCTGCCAATGTTCAGCTACAGTGAGCTGCCTTTGTAAATTATAGGTAGTTTATGTCCTTTTAGCAACACCTGCTTGTGAGCTACTTAGAATTTTTTTTTATATGTAAGAGATTTTTCTTTTGGTTTGTAAATCATACCTTCAGTTTGTGCAAACTGGAATAGTCAAGAAGAAGTCAGATGTTCATAATGATAGAAACACACTTAATTTTCAGTGACCTTACACAGCTCATTAATATGGGAGCACTTATGTTCTTACTATTAACAGCAGTAGGACAAAATCCATTACTTAATATTTGTAGGTTAATTGGAACAAGCATTTGATATCTCACTTTATATTTTCCCCTTTAATTTCCTGCCTTTCATGCCTGCTATTGCCTTGTAAAGCTCTCAATAGGGAGAAAACTTCTAAGAAGTCCTAAGGCTTCTCAGAAGGAACTGTTTTTATAAATAATGCAGCTAGTCTAGCTTCATCCTTTGGAAAGTCTTTTTTATCTAAAGGAAAGACATCTTTGCTGAATCAGTTATGCTTATTCTAGAATGCTGCTATCATATGGGTTCTGCACTAAAAATAATCACTAGCAAATATGTTTTCACCTCTAACTGTGGAATACTAACAAAAATGTTGGTTCAAAAAAGAGCTGTCAATAACAGCAGTATGTTGAGTGGTGATGTAATGCAGTATTTTAAACAGAATTTCTCCATCTTGCTAAACTTAATCAATCAAACAGACCTGACTTTTTGTTAGTTGAAAGTACCTAGAAACCATGTGTGTATTTGCAAGTTATGGTAAAGCAGTGCACTTCTCTAAGCTGCTTTTTTACTGTGTCTCTTATTACAGCTCACAGATGTTCCCTCACTGTGATGTAATGTACAGTAAATCAGGAGACAGTCCAGTTAAATTTAACTTTGTAGTAATGTATGCTTTAAAAATAAAATCCATGGCTGTGATGGCTGTAACTGCTGCTCACTTTAAATAAGAAGCAAGTTTAGCAGTGAAAGGAGGATTAAAGCATTTTTTGCCCTCAGCTTTTTCAGTTGAAACTTTGGTCTCTGCTACTTTATTGTTCCAAACACTGTGAGTTGCTGAAGTGGAAAAAAGAGGAGGCAGGATCCTGCCAAATGAAAAAAACTTCTGTCACTTTTTTCTCTAGAAAAATCCTTACAGCAAAGTGAGAATAACCAAAAATTATAGTTGCTCTCAACATATTGCATCTACAAAAGAATAAGACCCCATTATCTGAGTAAGAGTCATTTTAGTCAACACTCTTATGTAAAGCTTATGACACTTGGGTAGGATCTGTTAGACAATGTTCTCTTGACTTGACTTGCACTGGGGTGTAAAGTAAAATAGTGTTGGCAGAGACTCACTGCCAGGACCCCTGGTGCCATTAAGTTCATGCCAGCAGGAAAAGGGTTTTTGCCAGCCTCATTTGTGCTTTTTATCCTGCATCTGGCATTTTTACCTTAGCCACTTGGTTGTTGTATTTAATGTGGGTTTGGTGTTGTCTCCTTAACCTACCAGTTCCCATATTCCCAAGTCAGTGAACTCTGCCTCCAAAGTGTGGAGTTCAGGTCATTGCCAGGTAAATGCTTCTTCCAAAGATGCCACCTTGTGGGCCTGCACTGGCTTCATCTCTGCTTCGTCACTGCTGAAGTTGTGGCTGGTACCATAGTGGTGTGCAAAACCAGTGAGAACTGCTGCCTCAGGATCCTAATGTGTGTAGAAGCAGAAGCTTTATTTATTTTTAAGACCTGTGAGCCTTTGTAGTCCATCTTCAGGAAGTTAAACACCCTCTGCAGGCTCTTTATAGGATTCTTAATAAGGTGGTGGTGAGAAAATCAGTTGTTGATGCTTTCTGCCAGATGTTTACACAGCATGTAATACAGTGGAGTATAGGCATGGATTAGGTTTTGGCAAAGGTGCATCTGATCAAGTATTTTAGCAGACAATAAAACATCACAAGGGACAAAGAAAAGATAAAGTCATGTTTTTTCTAAATACTCTTCTAGCCTTAGTAAACTGAGTCTTAAAAGCTTTCTGTGCTGGATGTGCTCTCTCTTGTGAGGGTAGCTTGGAATGAGCTAGGTTGTATCCTGGGAACAGCAGAGTTGGATCAGGCATTGCACTTGGGGGCCAGGGATAGCTTGACTTTAGGTGTTGTGAGAGTTCTCTGCTTCTGCTGAAGGTGTCTGCTTTTGCAATGACCTCCAAACTGCACATGGAGTTCTGTGTGTGCTTCTCTGGCTGTCTGGCCCAAGGTGTTAAAGTTAAAATACTTGTACATATTAATATAAGAAATCCATGCTTGTGTGCTTTAGTAGCAACACTCTAAAATGTGATGGTTCAGCCACCTAATTTGTTAGCATCCAGCTGTCCTAGCAGTAGAGGTGAAACTTCCAAGAGAGAGTTGGATGGATGGCTGGGTTTGTGAACCATTAGAGCTGTGCCAAGAGCAGCTATTCTCATTCATGAATCATGATTCCAGAGTCATGAGATGTGCTCATCTAGCCTTGATAACTTTGTAGGCTTCTCTCTGAATTAGCTTGTAGACAGCATCAGGCTGTCATCGGTCTGTTATTTCTGTCATATGGATGAGGCTGAAGAGAGCTAATTCTAGACAACCCTGCCATATCTCAAGCAGAAATAACTATTGTTTTGACTTGTAGTGGTTCTCATCTGCCTACCTCAAAATTACTGTTAAAAGTGGATTTTTATTTTGGATGTCCATTCTGGAGTTGCTGTTGCTCTTCTGATGCAGTGCAGCACAGGAGGGAACCAGCGTTAGCTGTTGAGCTGGAAAAGTGAATTCCAGGGCTGCTTTCCTGGTTGTCTGTGGGGCAGCACAACCAGGCAGAGATGGGGGGCAGCTGAGTTGGTTTGCTTTTGAGTCTGGAATACCCAACTCCAGTGCATAAGTATGTGCTGGCTGCAGCAAGCCTCTCTTCCTCAGCATATACTGCTCCAGAAATCACCAGCAAATTGTCACTGAGATTTGTAATTCTAATTCCTCTTTTCCTTGCCTTTTAAGCAGTCTCATTTGCAAGTAATGGGCAACTTTCTTTTGGCATGTGTTACCCATTTTTAACTGCTGTTTCTGTTTGACAAACTGAAGCTGCAGAGATTATTTCATCATGAGATAAAAGAATAAAATTTCAGATAAGAGGAACTGAAAGGAGCTGTGCACATTATTCATATCAAACAAATTTGAGTTTTATGGATCTAAATCCATTTAAAATAAAAGTTGGATGTTGCATATATTTGTGGGCAAAGAAAGAAGAAAGGCATAATGAGCAGCATAGATTATTTTTCTCATTTCCTTCTGCTGCTGAGGTAGTTTCTTTTCTGGTGGAGATGAGCTCTCTAAAATGCCTACATTTCAGAAGACAGGAAGGAGATGCTTGCTGTCTCATCTGAACAGCAGTTGCCATCACTTTACACTACAGCAGAAATACCAAAAAGGAGTATGTGGGTCGCAATTTAAGTGGCACTGTGGTTTTCTATAAGGCTGTTCCTGAAGCTGAAGGTATCCGACACATCCCTTCACCAGCATGGCACCTGCAAGGTGCTGGCATCCCTTCAGTGGATTTATCAGAAACTCTGGGTCTCTGGTTTACATTATTTATCCTGAGGCCATTGTGTTGGATATCCCAAAATACTTCTGAAGTGTGACTGCCACAGGCAAATAAAGCAAACTGGGGGAGTAAACCAAGGAAAGGAGAAAGTAATGGTGGGGAAACAGGTGTTCTTAGTGTTGAGAGAGTTTCTCTGAAGGAGGGAAGACCCTGCAATATGTTTAAATAAATAAAACACTTCCATTTGTTCTACTTAGGTGGCTGAGAAATGATGGATAAGAGTGTCTGCATGGTTCAAGGTTTATATTTAACTTGCAATCTCATTTCTTTTACATGATGTCTGAGGCTCCTCAGGGTTTTTAAGAAGACTCAAAGTCAGGACATGAATTGGAAGAGGAGAATTTTAATGTGGTAACTGTGTTGAAACAAGCAGATAGAAGTGTTCCCTGGGAGAAAATTTTCTTGACTGTCAAAATTATATCTAAAGAACATTGTTTATGTGTATTTTACTCCTTGTGAGCCACATATGAATGGTATAGGATGCATTCACTATATGGTGTATGACTGAAATGCAGAAGCTATGCAAGCAGTTCAGAAAGTAAACAGGAATTCTGTATGGAAATGTTATGTACACCAGGGGAATGTAGGCAAGGGGGAGTGCTACTATGTGGGAATGTGATCAATCAAGAAGTGCTGAGATTGGTGTGGTGTACTGCAGAGATTCCAGTAGGTGCACCTGGCACAGGGGAGTTGCCTCCGATGCACTGGAGCAGAGGCTGCAAGGCACAGCACTTGTGTTTGAGCTTCTGCTGCTCTTTGAAAAATAAAGACTGCATTTTCCTGCCTCTCAATGAGGTGGCTTTGAACTCCATGAGACTGTGTAGGTCTAAAATGTTGCCAGATTTAACATTGACGTGTTTGGGTTTTCTTAATTTCTGATTTTTTTCTTTTTTTGTAGGTTTATAAAATTTCCCCCAAATTTGCTTTCTTGGTGACATCTGGTCCCTTTGTTTACATGGCAATAGCTGTCATAAATGTGCTTGTGAACAGCAGTCTTCTTCGTGGGGAGGCCCCCATCATCCTCTCACTGCACCCTTCTTTCACTGTGCCAGACAACAGATTCCAGGTTCAGACAGGTGAGTTCCTCCTGACACAGAGGGGAAAAGGTGGCTTCCTATTGATTCACCCTTCTTCACTTGCACTGCAAAGTCGAGTCAAAACCTTCTGTTCTAATGTGAATCTTTATTCTTTTTGTTAATGACATAGTTTACAGGTCCATGGCAGAGAGGTGGTAAATTGTAAACAGTTAAACCCATCACTTCCTGGTTTTTTCAGGATTTTTTTTTCAGTACATTGCAAAATGACTGTGCTCTTTCTCTTCTCAAGGTGAGAAGATAAAGAAAATCCATGAAGCATTTATTCATAGAATCACAGTGCAGCTACTTTGTAATGCTTGTGTCAATTTCAGATTAAATTTATGTTAAAAGCTGCCTTTTTGTGTTGTTGTGATGTAGGAGAATTGGTGAGCAGGAGGATTGATTGCTCATGTATAACATGAGCAGGAGGATTGCTTATGTAGTACACAGCTTTCCAGGGCTGCTGTATTGCAGCAGTTCATGCAAAGTTTGACTGCTAATAATCTAAAGCAAAATAGTACCCATGTAATAGATTTTCAGAGTCAATGTTGTCATTTAAAATCTTCTTTGGGCCCTGTTTGCATAACACTGCTTGCCTGGTTGGTTGGCTGTGTAATGAGATAGTGACAGGGACTGGGCATACAAGCAGAGTTAATAAATGTCAATGTGGTACTTTTGCTCAGATACACTTTGTGTGTTGTTGTGCTGTGTTAATAATTGTATGGCAAGGCATCACTTCAACTATGCAGGTGCGATGTCTTTTTCCACTGCTTAACATGGTTATATAGATAGACAGGAGGTTGTATTTTTTGGGTTTGAACCTTGTATAACATTCCTGTTAGGATCTGTAAACTAACTGTAGCATTTCTTTGGGTAAGGCTATATGTGGAAATCCACAGATGTGCACATAGTTAAGGTCTGTGTGCCTGATCACCTTCCTCTACACTCACTCCTATCTTGTGCTCTTTCTTTCTCTCTTCTGAACTTAAAGATGTCTGTATCTAAATTTAACAGATAGCTCACTAAGTGTTTTGAAAGTATTAGACCAATATTAATGTGCATTAATGGATCCAATATGTAATCTTTTAGGCAAGCTAAATACTGTATTTCAGGCTACAAGAAAGAGATATTTCTTGCCCTATTTTCTGAAGATTTTCATGGATTGGCTGGGTGCCCAGAATTTCAGTGTGGCCAATTCAGTGGTCAGGTGAGGTGAAGTTAACCACATGTATATAGTGAAGGTCTTTTAGTGTACAAGAGGAAACAGTCAGTATTTTGTCACTAGTATCTAATTACTGCTGCAACCAGTCTTAGTGAGTAGAGAATTTACTGCAGCAACACAAAATGTATTTTTAATGTATTTTCATCTGGTGTTTCACTGAATGTGTCCTGAGCTTCATGAAAGAAGGAAATGATAGCCCAGTGAATTCTTTTGTTTTGTTCCCTCTCATGGAAGTACTTTTCTGTAGGAATAATTGCCCTTTGCTTTCAGTGCTTCAGTTTGTACCTCGGAACGTGGATATTGGATTCTGCACCTTTAGCCAGCGCATTGAGAGAGGGCTGACAATGGCGTTCCTGGAGGTGAACAAGCACCAGGAGTCCTACAACTTCACTGTGCAGGTGAGAGGATGAGCATGGTTTGTGTCTGTCCCTTTTCCTCCCTCCCTTTTCCTCCCTCATCCTCCCTTTTATTGTCTGGATGTGTTTCATCCTGACAATAAAATGAGTTAGGTGTTCTCTGGCTGTCTAGGTCATGTAGACCTACGAGGCTTTGTCATGAAGTCAGTTGGGAGTTTCCCCCTAAAAAATAATAAAGCACAGCATGTAAAAGCTTTTACAAGCTTTTTGAAAAAATTATCCAAGGTGATGGTTTATATCCAAAAGCGTTATTGAATATGAGAAGGTTTATAATTTCTCAAATAAAAGCTGTTACAGCCCTTACCAGAGTCACTCCCATCATAGTTTCCTATAAAAGACTAAGGTGTGGTTAAAAAGTTTTTGTTGGAAGAAAGCTTTCAGGTCTCATTGCCATACTGGAGACCCTGTTAGGGAATACAGAAGTTACATGACCCTGCCATCATGTGAGCAAACATGCTAGTTGCTTCTGAGGCCTAGAAATATTTACAGTATATGATGTCTGTGACAGCTGTGACTGGAACTTCACACATGAAAGGTATTGCACATGTGCCGAGCCCTGAATCACAGAGCAGAGCTTAAAGCTGCCTGGAAAGTCAGTAATTCAATTTAATGAGATCAACTCCCTCTTCTGTTTGAATTCTTAAATTTAATCGAACTTTGTTGTAATACCAAACTCAGTAAAAATTTTATTATGTTGTTTAACTGACACCATAAATACCCATCTGTTGTACACTAAAATAAATTCAGGAAGAAAAATGACAAATTTTAGAGTACCTAAAGTACTATGTAGTATATATAGAAGAGTGCTTAGAACTTCAAACACAGTGTCACTGCATAGACTGAGGACAGAACATGCAAAACAATTTCTTGGACTGTCAGCTTAGCCAACTTACTTTAAATACTTCTTATTTTTTGGAAAAGGTTCATCTACATAAATACAGTTGCTGTGTATATTGGTGCCACAAAAATACTTCTAAGATCTGGTGGGTTTGGGTGTGCATGGTGCAGGAGATTTTTACCATCTTACCAAAGAGAACATCCATTTTCAGAACTTTCTTTGCCATAATCAATCTCTTTCTTCTGTTCCATGCAGTTTGGCATTTATCTAAGACTTATTTACGACTAGATTTATTTTGCTATCTGTCTTGCTAGGTGGTTTTTTTCTCATCATTTTCTGGGCTGTAGCTGTCAGATCATTCTGGATTATGATTGACCTTAAAGGATGACTCTTTGAAGAGGAATTCACATGCAACTTTGCCTCTTCTGAGACTAAGCTGGCTGAACCAATCTGGAACAGATGTTCCTCTGTCTTGATGTGAATTGCCCCCCTCTTCATATAAGAGGAAAAAGAAAAGTCTGTCAAGGAAGGGAAGGAAATGGCAGTGATTTGATTTTGCTGACCCTGCTTCAATGCTGTCTTTTCAGATACTGAACATAACTCTGAGCAGGCCTGGGGTGGCATTTCGACAGGGCCCTGTGAGCATTGTCTTTGCCATCCGAGACAGGTACGGTTTTCTCAATGGGTCTGAAGTCAGTGAGCAGCTCAGAAACTTGTCCGTGGTGGAATTCAGCTTCTATCTGGGCTTCCCTGTGCAGCAGATTGCTGAACGTGAGTATTTGCTGTTATCCAATACTGCAGAATACTTCTGTCCAGTATTTCCCTCTGTACAGTTCTAAAATGATTTCTTGAATAAGTGATAATGCAGCTTCAAGTGCCTAACTTGAATCATGAGTTCTGCAGGGCGGATTTGTGCCTCTGCTCACATTTTGGTGTTACAGCATCTTGCTGCTTTTGTCATCATACTTTCCTTTTGTGCTGGGTCAGTTGTGCTTAACCTGGCTTCGTCAGTTCATTGGTCTTAGTCCAGATCTAAAAATAAGAAAATCACTTAGATCAGTATTGATGTGAGGTACAGTCCAAGGTGTGTCTCTGTGCTTATGACTAGAGAGGCCTTTGCTAATTCTCAGGAGTTTCAGTACTTTCAGGGTTGTGCTGCCCTTAACCGTGTCTCTGACTTCTAGAAACTCCTGGGACACTGGCTCCATAAGTTGATATTTGCCCAAATAGTCTGAATTAATTTGTCTATGCAGTCTGTTATGTTTTAAAGTAATACCTTTCTCACTTTTTATGTACATTTGTATGACAAGTCTTTTTTTCCAGACCACCGTCATTCTAAACACAGATGAGTGGGAACTGCCTGCATAACAGAGCTTGCTTGACACTTGGCCTTGACAACTTATATTAGATTTTAGATTTTTCAGATGACTCAGGAACATAAGCAAGATCATGGGAGAATAGTACTTGCCTTTTTTGCTGGTGGGTGTCACTGACACAGCCCATTAATTCCCCATTTCTCCTATCTCACCATGCTTTTTGATTTTTTCAGTTATTTCTGTGAGCTGTAGAGATGCATAACATCTGTCACAGTGAGTTTTACAATATAGTTAAACACTTAGTGGAAAATCAGGTCTAATAGTAGCTGGTGTTCATTATGCAGCTGTGTATGTCAGTGAAAATACTGTAAAGAGTCACTGTCAACAGAAAAGTTGCTCTCCTTCACAGCTTTCAATCTAGGTAAGATGATTGCACAGGATACTTCCCTATTTACTGGATGCACTCTAAACATACTAGTTTTTTGAAGCTTTTTATTTCATGTTTTCAGCATATTTGATCCCTCTACTCTCATAATCAATTAAAAGATGTATGAGGTTGTTGTTAGTGGAGCCAGGACCAAGTCTTGAGAATCCCTGTCCATAGATGACCAGCATTTCTTTTTATTTTTGAAGCCCCAGAGCATCTCACATTGTGGGCTATGGTCTTTATTGCTCACTGAATGCAAATAAAATGTTGCTTTTGCCTTGATTGCTTGAAAGACCCCTCTCTTTACTCTGTGTCCTCTCTTTTATGCATTTGAGCTTGAGTTTAGGTAGCTTTTAGTCTCCGGTAATATTTTTGGTGTTGAGGGATGCTTTTTTTCCTGTGATGTAAGAGCCTACATCAGCTCTTACAGCTTTTAGTCTTGTCCACGTATTCTGAAATTATATTTGTGCATTTGCAGGTTACCCCTTGCTGAGAATCCATCTTCTGGATTGTGCAATTGAGCTACAGTGCAATTAGGTGATAACAGAATTTCTACCAAGGCTGGTGTAGCTTGAAAGAGAGCCTGGTAAAAGGGGAAGACATTCCTGTTCAAGATGAATGTACATGGTTCTCCTTGGGCTTGGAACTAGATGACCTCTAAGGTCCCTTCCAAACCAAACAATTCTATGATTCTGTTTTCCTTTCCTGACGCTACTTAGGAAATCGGAAATTACTTTAGGGCTCGTGTGAGGAGCTATCCCTGTGTTTGTGACCTGCATGTGTACAGTGCCTGGCACTGGGGATGATGCCAGTGCCAGTGGAGCCCTGTGGTCACTCACATGCCAATTACAAAGCAAAGTGAAGTAGGATGACTGGAGAGCTCAAGATTTTTTGGAACTATGAGATCTTCCCAAAGATTGCAATGTAGAAAACATGAGGATTTGGTGCATAAAGTGTCCTAAATTAAGGAACATAATGTCAGCAATTGACTTGCTTGCTGTTAGAGGAACTCACATCTACTATAGATTGATCCCATTGTAGAACAGCACATTTGGGTTTGAACTGGTCTAGTTTGGTCTCAGTAGTGCTTTAACAGGCACTGTTCTGGAATACCAGCCCTGGTGCTATTTGGTAAGTTGGCAAAGTGGGAACACAGTTTCTCAGATTACTGGAGCTGTGGGTCCTTCTGTCAGCAAGCACAGAAATTATGAATGTAGTTCAGACTCTTTTATCAGTGAGGCAACCACAGCCAGTTATTTTTAGCTGTTCCTACGGTTTTTTACACTGCTGCTGTGACTGGATTTTGAGCCCAAGGGTTTTAGATCTTCAGATTCAGAGCCAAAAATCCTGTCCCAAGGCTCGGCAGCATTGGGCAGATCCTTCCTGAAACATCTTATCCAACAGACTGTTGAGGGTGACCAACAGCCAGATCCTCAAAGCTACTTTAGCAGGGAGATGCCTAAATGTTTTTGTTTTCTAGAGCATCTGTAGCAGGGAAGGTGTTACAACACCTTAGATTGATATACCTGCTTTGGTCTGTGCTGATTAATATACAAACCTTTGCTTTCAGTGTGATTTTTTTTCTAGGAATGTTGGATATTTACATGTAAACCATCTATATATGTTAGTGTTCATATGTAAATATAAAATGTTCCATGCCATACTGTTCTGTGCCATTTGTGCCTTAGTTTATCAGGCATGCTGATAAACTAAGTCACCCTAAGTCATACTCTTGGTGTTGACTTTTCTTTTTCCCCTAAGGACTCTGTGCATGATCTTGTATATTTTGTAGCTGCATCTGAAGAAATTATTTGTGGGTGAACTGAGGCCAGGTCTCAACCCCCAGCCTTGGGGTTTTAAGTTGATCATACTCAAGAAAAGCTACTTGTGCATCTCTACATCGTTAAGTGAGACCATGACATCAATATCCCAAATATGAGCCTTGTTCCAGAGTGTGTATTTGCTCCTTGGCACTTGTTCACTTTGCATTGCCTTTCACACACTTTCCTCTCAGGGTTTTTATTCACATAAATAATATATCCTGTTTATAGTTTTAACTGTGTGGTTTGTCCCTTCCCATTGTTAACACCAGGAATTCTTTGTCTGTGTTTTCCCCACTCACATAGAGTCAGGATCAGGAGTGAAAGTTGTTTGGCAGATGTGGACTGTTTTTTGCAGGAATAGGGCTGTAAAAATGGCAAAACCTGGAAACTTCCAGGCTTCCTTCTTTCTTCACAAGACTTCTAGGTGACTTGAGCAATGTGTTTCTATTCAAATGTCCAGTTTACACCGTTCTCATGCTTATTTTTCATTGTCCACCTCACAGCTCATGTTTCAGATTGAAAATTGGTTAGATGGTCATGACCTACAAGTCAGCAGAAAGAAAACCAACTCTAATCACAGAGTTTGGGTGCTAGTTCATTAAAAATAACAGGAAATTATATATATACTATCTCTTTATGGCTGGCAGATTTCTTGGTGGACAGGTAAAGGCTAGCTGTGGAGTAGATGGCAATATTTGCCTTCATGAACTTACCCTGACTAAAGTTCTTTGTTTTTCTCAGGACTTCAAGTCCTAAGAGAGTAGAGAGAGTTGCCTTGGGAGTTGATAATTTTTAGTTGTAAGTAGCACTTTGATGCATGTCATCTATTTTGGCTGTCTTGGAGATGTTGCAAGGCCAATAGGATAAATGTAAAATTGTATGATATGGTCCAAGGACTGCAAAAATATTTGGCAATTTTTTCTGGGTGGATTTTGGATCAGGTTTTAAACAGACACAGTGTGTTGCTATTGCCCACACCCCAGTATCTGCATGGAATCTTATTTTTCATTTAATGCCTTCTCATTTCAAATACTGCATTCCCTCCATGCTTTCTACTACTGCTCTCTGTTGATCAGAAATAAGAACGATCAGCATGACACCATTTCTGTCCTGCATGGTCCCACACATCTGTAGGAGAGAGAGATCCTAAGAACATCTGGCAATGGCCACACTGCCTGAGTGGTGTGCCTTAGACTGCTCTTAGTAGGTCTCTGGTGAGCAGGTGACCCTTTCCCTTTTCATTCAGCCCCAAATCGATGCTGTTACACGGTATGGTGCTCCAGGGCTCCCTGTTAGCATCTTCTAATGATGCCAGCATCTACTTCATTAATGCAGCCAGAGTCATTAGCAGACCAGCTGCAATCTAGCTAATAATTGCATTTTGTCTATCCAGCTTCCCCCTCAGAATAACAATCAGTCAGTGCTGTTTGTAATTGTTAGTTCCAGAGGACATCAGAACTCTTGTAAATTTGATCTTACTGCAGTACTGAGACTCCAGATGAGCCCAAGGTCTGTGTGTCAGTGAGACACTAGAGTGACCTATGGTATAAGAATTGGAACCTGGATTGCCTGACTTCTGACAGTTTTCAGCATTCTTTGTCAGGTTTTAGAACCAGTCGTAGCTGGCAATGATCACAGCAGCACATCTTCCTTTTCTATGTCAAGATTTTCTGCTCAAGTTGGTTTATTTTTAAGTTGCATTAATTCTGGAAAGTTTAAATGAATAGTCACCCAGCAATTTGCATGAATTAAATCATTTTCAAGTACTAATTAGAAAAAGTGTGAAGAGCACAGTAAGTATTGAAGCAAAAGACGATTTTGGATTAAAGAAGAAAAAACTCACAATTCCTAGGAGTTCAAAGCATGTTGGTCACTGGACGGTTTTTGATTTCCTTATCGTACTTTTGCCATGCATTGGAAAACAACGGAATCAGTTTTCAGTTCAGTTTATGCTTTTTTTGTTCAGCTTCCATCTCTAAATTGAAGTAAACAATTGCATGACTAGAGTAAATAGAATTTCAATCTAAAAGCTACAATCAGAAGAATCGAGTAGCAGGATGCCAGAAATAAATGGGTGTGTTTAAATGGACTCTGAGGTGGTTTTTGCTTGTCTGAGAGTTTTGGAAATTTAATGCATTGTGATCACTTGCATAGAAGGCCATTGTTTCCTGTTCAGAAAAAAAGGACCATGTTCCAACACCCTTCTGAATAGTAAGTCACAGAGTACCAGCCAGGTGGTCATCTTGAAGCTAGTGGTGCTATTGCTGAAAAAAAGGTGGAATAACCAAATTTTCTTTCATTTTTTCCTTCCAGTAGGAGTTAGTTATAAATCCGTGAAAATAAAAGGTAAAATGTAACTAATGATTTCACCTTAACCAAAAAATTCCTAAGCTTTTTAATGGGCAAAAGAATCAGATTTTTGGTACACTGACAGAGAATGGCTTGTCTACAAATTCTTGCATTATTAAATTAGAAAAGCTTCAATTTTCTACTTCCCTGAAATGTGGAGTAGTGGCAAACTAGTCCACAACTGTGGACATCTTCATTCTAAATTGATCCAGCATGGGCCAGGTCATTTAATTGTTATGTGCTGCGTTCTTTCTGTTCATGAAATGGTTTAAAAATTAACCTTTGTATAATGCTTAGCAAGCTGCATCTGGATTAAATATTTTGAGAAAGTTAAGACCATTCCTTTTCCTTATTGCCATAGTGAAGCTTAAGACTTCCCTTGAGGAAACTGTTGGCCCAGCCCCCATCTTCACTTCTTTCCCAACATGTTTTTACTGCTCTCCAGTGGAAACCTTGGGAAAAATCTTATCTATAGTGAAGTCAGTAGAAATTGACTGTTTTCCTTACTGCGGCAAGGATTTCCCTCTAAAGCAGAGCTTTTTTTTTTTTTTTTTAATTGAGAAATTAGGAAAACTTGGAGCCACCAAGCGGAGGAGAAAAGCCATGAGGTTTATCTAGAGCAGTGTTTCTACATGTGGTTATTTGTGGGTTTTGTAAATAGAACTGCACAAGTCTGGAACACAAATCATACATGTTTAGTTCTCTGCTTTACATTTATTGCTTCCTTGTAGTTTCTGCCTCAGAGAAGGTCTTATTTTCATCCTGAGACACTCAGGAGTTGCCTCACTGCCCTTTGAGCAAGAGTCTGATCCTGCAGCTAGCTCAGTGAGAGTCACAGCTCAGGCAGTGAGCTTTTAAATTCCTGGGAGCAATGACCCCGGTGCAGCAGCTTGGAGTCTTTCACGTAATAAATCTGACTGTTTCACTTAGCTTCTTTTTGTTAGAGACAAACTCAGCAGTGTACATTGGGAGCACTTCCCTTGCCATTGTGTCTGCATTGCCTCAGGAGCAGGAATGCATCTGTGTAAATAAGATGCTTGCTGACAGTATAAATTATGTAGTGGCTTCTGGTTTTGTGTATGTTGTTTAGAAAACTGTTCTTAAGGATGTTTTTCCTCCATTCTGCTTATTTTTCAGCCTTTCATTATCCTAAGCTTAATGTGTCCCAGTTGATGAAATCTTCCTGGGTGAGAACAGGTATGTATGGTCTCTGTGAGAAAGTAAAAGTGCAATTAGTTTTGGTAGTGGGATAACTAGCCTGCATAAATATCAATAGCTTAGGGGTGCTGCATTTTTATGAGGTAATAACATGTCTGAGCTGAATAAATTCTAAAACCAAAGGCCCAGTGACCTGGAATATCTGGGAAATATAAATCCCTGGTCTAGAATTAAGTACTGAAATTCCTTGATAATGCACACAAAGCACTTTTTGTCTATAAGGCAGTTCATTCTTAGTGAAACAGCTCAGACTGTCAGGCATAAAGTATCTACTCTGCATGTTGCCAATATGCCACATTGATTTTTAGGTACCTATTTTAAGTGAAAATTAAAATTTTATTTCTGTGACACTTTCTACCAAAACATGCCCAGAATAAAACAGAGTGAAAATAGATGAATTCTGAGTACCTAAAAGAGTTTCATCACATTTCATCGATCCCTTCTGATTCGTTCACAGAAGATCCCTCCCACCAAAGTGTTCTGAGTGTTTTATTCTGTAATTTACAGATGTGCTTGAGCTGTCACATTTAGGTGCTCAGAGGCTGTTGAGGTTGCCTTCCTGCTGTAGGTCTTACCTGGTGCTTTTAAGCCTGACTGGTGAGGAGGCTTTGCCTTCCAAACTTGTTCTTAGGGTGCAGGTGCCCCACTGGATCCACTCTTGTATTCCTACAGCTTTTATCACCTCTAGTTCACCTGTTGTATAGACTTGCTCTTTTTTCCAGGTTTTCCTGTCTCCTCCCACCAGTCACCACTTCACTCTTCAAGCAGGAGAGCAAATTGCACCTCAATTTCTGATGCCCACGTGGTTTGTTTCAGAGAAGAAAGATTTAGAATTTCAGATAATGCTCAGTGATGTGGGAGAAGCTCCTATGTGTGTATCATAACCAGTGGCATCCTTCCTCAGAGATTTGTGTTGGCTTTTTTGGCTCCACCTGCTCCCTCTCTTGCTCAGCCTTAGGATTGTCCATTGCTGCTGAAAATTCCCTTAGCTCCTGCAGTAAAAAAAGGGTTCTTCCAGCTCTGAAATCACATTCCCTTGGGTTTTGATAAACTTCTGCCTGTGAGATTTTGAAAGCCAATTGCAGCAACTTTTTTTTTTTTTTTTTTTTCTGCAGAGGAATTTTTTGTAGTCTCAGTTCTTGCAGGATTCTGGGAAGAGCTGGTAGACTTTGGCTGAGTCATTGCTTTCAGTCAGTGTTTTGTATTTTAAGGGTAATGAATCATGACATGGGAAAATGATAGAATCCATGCATGTAAAGATTTTTTAATATCAAATTACCCAGATATATGTGCATGTATCCCAGTAGTCATAAAAAGCTGGGATATACTCTCCCTCTGTTGTAGAATACAATTCATGCTATTAAACATAATTTATTGATACTGAAATCCAATACACAGGCAAGAACAGTTTTCTGCTTGGTGTATATAATAGCCTTAGGTCATTGTCTGTTTTGCTATTTAATTCTGAGATACTTAGTCTGTGATTGAATTTAGAAGACAGATACTGTTGATCTCAGTGACAAATCATGAAAATGTTTCCTTTTTCTGATATCTGCAGTGAAAGCTTCAAATTGAAAAAGTGGCTTTAATAGATTTGGTTTAAAAATTAAAAAAAAAATTAAAATTATATTTAATTGATTTTATCCAACTGGTGGCTTTTTATTAACCTCTAGACTTAATAAATGCGGAAACACAGAAAAAGCGGATTTTTAAAAATACGTATATTTTTAGTGGAGGAGAATTAAAACTGAATTTATTTGATGCAGTCAGCAGTGAGCTGGTTTGCTGTCCTGGAGGATTGTTCAGTTGGATCATTTGAATGATTACTGCTCCATTCACTCCACATTTCTCCAACTGGATGCCATCTTGCTAGTAAAAGTCCACTCCTTTTTTCTTCTTCCTTCAGGGATTCCTCTCAGCATTGGCTGCCCCAGTGACCCAGGGTACCTGGTTGCCAAGTGAGCAGGGCTGCAAACCATTTTCTTGTGCTGTGATTGGCATATTTGTTAATCTTATCTGGGCAAGTTGCACTTGAATACACAGCTTCATTCATGTGCTGCTGTTCTACTTTTTCTCCAGGACTCTGAACCCTTGCCCTCCCCATCTCCAACTCGGTACACAAGTGTTGGTACATCTCCAACACAACACTTTTGACTGCAATTAGTTGAAGCAGACAATTTAGACTAAGTTTTCTCTTTTAGTAGTTTTTAAAAATTCATTGGATGCTCATGATTTTATGCATTTTTAGAATTTAAATAGTTTCCTTATTATCCTGGGTCTGTCTAGCCTGGTTCAAGTTCCAGAAAAATCCTCTGGCTGAATTTTTTTCCCCCTCAAATTACTTATTTTGGGGGGAAAAAAATTCACTCCACATTTCTCTAACTGGATGCCATCTTGCTAGTAAAAGTCCACCCTTTCTTTCATCTTCCTTCAGGAATTCCTCTCAGCATTAGCTGCCCCAGTGACCCAGGGTACCTGGTTGCCATGTGAGCTAACCATTTTTTTGTGCTGTGATTGGCATGCTTGTTAATCTTATCTGGGCAAGTTGCACTTGAATACGCAGCTTCATTCATGTGCTGCTGCTCTACTTTTTCTCCAAGAACCTTGCCCTCCCCATCTCCAACTTGGTATCACTTCTGAACACAACACTTTTGACTGCAATTAGTTGAAGCAGACGATTTAGACTAAGTTTTCTCTTTTAGCAGTTCTTAAAAATTCATTGGACGCTCATGATTTTATTCATTTTTTTGAATTGAAATAGTTTCCTTATTATCCTGGGTCTGTCTAGCCTGGTTCAAGTTCCAAAAAAATCCTCTGGCCAAATTTTTTTCCCCCCCAAATTACTTATTTTGGGGAGAAGAAAATTCACTCCACATTTCTCTAACTGGATGCCATCTTGCTAGTAAAAGTCCACCCTTTCTTTCATCTTCCTTCAGGGATTCCTCTCAGCATTAGCTGCCCAGGGTACCCTTGCCCTCCCCAGCTCCAAGTCGGTACAGAAGTGTTGGTACATCTCCAACACAACACTTTTGACTGCAATTAGTTGAAACAGGCAATTCTAAGTTTTCTCTTTTAGCAGTTTTTAAAAATTCATTGGATGCTCATGATTTTATGCATTTTTAGAATTTAAATAGTTTCCTTATTATCCTGGGTTGGTTAAAGTTCCAAAAAAATCCTCTGCCTGAATTTTTTTTTTTCTCCCACATAATTTATTTTGACTTTTTCCCACCAAATGTTTCCCTTTTCCAGCAAGTAACCTCCACCTGAACGGGTCAGAATTCCCATTTAAATACAGGCGCTCTCGAGTTATCCCTGAGCTGTCCCCTGGCGACTCAAAGCTTGTAATTGAAGTTGTGGAGAAGAAGCTGAGAAGTTTTACTAATGAATGTGTTTTCTTGGGCTGTTTTCTGTGCCATGCAGTTCTCCTGGGTGTGGTTGACCAGCGGGTTCAGGAGGAAGTGTTCCGGGCTGAGATGGAGCGGAAACTCGCTCACCTCTTCAACGAGGCTTTGCTCAGAGGCAGGATCTGGAGACGGGCCAGCTTTGCAGGCACCAACATTGTGCAGGTACTAAGAGGGTGAAAAACAAAGCATAATAAATTACTGAGTCAGTTAACATGAGTGTTAACAAAGTGTTTGAGTTGACAAATGTAACTCAAAAGCATGCGTCACCTTTAGCTAGTTGGTGATACTTGTGTTTTGCACCTAAAATATGGGTGTTCTTTCAAGCACCACATATGTCTTTTAAGCTAAACATAACAAATGCAAATAACTGATTACTAAAAACTCTTGATGGCTTCATAGAAACAACAGTTAAAATTGTTTTACCGACGTCTTATTTTAAAAATGTTCTATCTTGTTTGGCTTTCATGATGTGCCTAGCAAAAGGAGACAGGATGATCATCTGAAAAACATTTATCTCCTGGGACAGCTACTTCACAGCTCTCTGATGTTTTGGCAGTGGTGTTGAAATACAAAATAGAGTTGTGTGGCTTGGTGCAGCAGTAGAGTAGTTCATTCTACCCCTTAACTTCTTACTTGTCACCGTACTCGTGGTCACAGGGTTGGATTTCAGGTAAAAATGATTATTCACACCAAATTTTGCACACATAGCAACTTCTGTTATCTGAATTCCAGTGCTGCTGTAGAGTTTTAGAGTCACAGGTGGATTTATTCACATTAAGTCCAAGAAGACTTTACTATTTAATTTAAAGTTTGAAATTCTCATGTGTTCTTTCTAGTCAGTTCAACAATCTGAAAGCCAAAGTACTTTTTTAATGGCTCATCTTCTTAAAAATTACCATTTCCAGCTAATTCATTGACAGTTGGTTTACCTCCCAGATGCCCTTTTTGCATTTCAGATCTATTGTCTTTATTTAATTTAATCCTATGGTTTTTGCTACCACTTAAATTTCCAGATGTTGGGATATTTTTACTTCTGCTTTCCTGTCTCAGAAACATCTGTTTCAGTAATAGAGGTTTTATTTTATTTTTCTTCTGTACAGCTTTGAATTGCTGCTAATAGGTGTCTGCTTCAGATCTCCTATTCCCAGCACCTCTTATTGCACTTTGTTCATTATGCCTTTGTCCTCCTTTTGCATATAAATTAAACAAATATTCCTTATGTTGCTAGTGAAGATGCCACAGCCTATAAAATGTGTATGTTTAGATTACACTTTTATGACTTTGCACAATAAAGCTCAGGTAGTTTATTTTTTCTCATGCACAAAATTATGGGCACATCCTTTTTAGATAAGGGGTGGTATTTTGGAAAGTGAAAATACAGCATTTTTTTCTTTTGACTTTGTGTTATGTACTGGGACATAAGATGAGATCTGCAGCTCGTGTTCCAGACAGCAGTGCTGCTCATTTATGCCACTTAATTAGTGCAAAGAGCCTGCCAACTGCTGGCTTTGGGCAGAGCAGGGTTCTGTTCATTACAGTCAGCACATCTTACCATCACAGGGCTTCTCCAGGTGCTCCCAGCCCACCCTTCCAGGTAGGGTTAGAGCTGAATAAAGGAGATGGGGAAGGAGAGAGGCTGAAGAGAAACCTTGCAGTGAAGTGTGTGTGCTGGGTGTGCTCACAACAGCAGGTACCTGCAGGTGCCACAGCTCCTTGGTACTGCCTTGGCAGGATGCTCAGGCAGGTAAGACAGCCTGAAAGGCTGTGGTGTGCAGCTGCAGTGATGGTGAGCTCCAGACTGAAGGATAGTTCCTTTCCAGGATGTTCCCCTGTTAGGTGAGGATCTTGTCCATAGATATCTGCCATAAACCTTTTACTGCTGTTGATTCTGTTCCTCTTAGCCAAGTTTATAAGCTGTGTTTCTATCTTCTGGGAGAGCTAATATTTCTTGTGCTCTACATTGACATTTTCCCATACATATTTCTTGCACACAAATCAGTGACTGCAATGATAGTAGAGCACAATGAAGTGAAAATAAGAAAAAAAGCTGCCAGCACCACAAGTGTTGCACAGTTTTAACAGAACATGTTTATATATCCATTAAAGACTAGACTCACATTTCACTTGCCTTGTGACCCTCTAGACTGGAGTTTTTCCTGAGGTGAAATATATTTATAGTGTATTGAAATGTGACATTTCTAAGCCCTGTGGAAAATCAGGACTGCAGGTCAAGAGGTGAAGCAATTATTTGTGAATGTTACTGCAGGCATATTAGTTTCCTTTCACGTGCTCAGGAAATAGAAGTGATACCTTTTGAGGTTTAGATTTCATTTCTGAAGGCATATGTTAGTGCCTAAGAATGTGAAAAATGATGCTTTAAGCCTGGGCACTCTGAAGAAGAGCTTTGGAGGGTACCCAAATAGCAGGCTTTCCCCTCCTGTTTCACTGTCTGTGCTGTTAACAGGTGGCACTCCACGATAAAAAGAGAAAAAAGTCTGTAACCATTATGTACAAAACCCCTCTGAAGCCTCAAACCTGGTTGTTGTACTTCTGATAGTCCCACTGATTTTTGTGTGATGTTGTATTAATATTTCACAGAGTAGGTCTTACATATTTTCAATGTGCATCTTCTATTGCTGCAAATTTGAAGGCATGTGCTTACTGTGGCTTGCATTGCATCTGCAGAGACCTGTGCCATATTTATATTTTAATATCTGCAATATATATTTTATTATATTATAGTTTACTGTAATAATTCTCATTACATTTTTTAGGAATTTGAGGGCTTAATTGTAGTTTAAAAACACAGCAGTAGGTAATAAAAAACAATTAATTTTCTTTTATTTCAACATGCTTGGTCCTTTGAACCTAATAGAAAGTGAAAAGCTGATCCTAGTAAATTAAACAAAGAGGAATGTTCTGATTTAAAGAACATGCTAGGCAGCATTTTATTTGCAGTGTGTGTGAGGAGTAGCAGCTTATGAGAGAATGCAGTGACTGAATTGAGCTTTTCATTAAAGCAAAAATTCATTCTTGTGTTTTTCTGCTGACAGCTTGTGTGTCTCTCCTGGCTGAGGAAAGCCTGTCTTGCTGTGAGGTTTTAGGTTTATAAATGAAGTCTTGCTATGAGTTTTTAGGTTGATAAGTGAAGCCTTTGGGCACTGCTGCTGCTTCACCTTTTCCTCTGAGGCTTTTGGCCCCTCCAGCAGCCGGCCCAGTCAGCAGCTGACCCCTCTTGTCAGGTTGCTCACAGCCTGCTTGTGCCTCTGTGTGCTGACCACAGTACAGCTTGAATTAAGTGCCCAGATACTAAAATCCTACTCTTAATAAGACAGAAAGAGGATTTTTTTTGTTTATTTTTTTCCCAGTATGATGAAGGAAGGCAAGAAAGGGAAATAATCCTCCTGCACGAGCACTGGAGGTTGTATGTGCATATCTGCTTGTTTCTCACTGGTGCTCAGCCTTCCAGACCCTGAAACAGCTCACCAGGGTTTCCTTGCTCCTTCCTGGATTCCTGACCAGGACATCCCTCTGACTGCCCAGGACTCTGAGAATGCCTTGGAAGCTTCCCCACCACTTGTATTTCCATGCCTGAAATTACCAACTAGATTTTGTTACCAAGGCAACTCTGTTCACTGACCTATGATATTCACTTGAAAACACTTTTTAAATTAAATTTACTGACACCTGAACACAGTTAAGCCTTTCCTCTGTGGAGGTTAAATGCACATCTAGTATCAACAAAGATGGTATCATTTATGTACACAGGAGTTGAATTAGTCTTTTCTTATTTTTTTCCCCTGACTTTCTGCCTCCTGCATTTAAAATTCTTCTATCTCTTCCCTCCCTCTGTCATCACTGCCAAATGTAAAACGCTTAAATGCTTCCTTACATGTGGGCTGCTTTGCTGGATGCCTGGCAAATGCTATTTGACTCTGCTTGCATTCTTATCATTCTCAAGGACAGAGACTAAAGCAGTCTGAAGCTGCACAAAGAGTGTAATTTGGAACCATGTGTCAGAAAACTTAGAATCCAGAAACTCTGTAATAACCAGGTACAGTGACTGTGTACCTCAATTCTATTACCAGCTTTAAAAGAGTTCAGGCCCAGTGTGCCATTTCCTGTGTTTCAGCAAACTCAGAGGCTAGTTACAAGAATCAGTAAGTAAAATTAAGTTGAAAACTGAGGTACTGGTATTGTCACAGGTACTGGGTTTATGTACAAATCTAATTATTTTGTATCTGCTTCTAGACTACCCTGCTAGTCACCAGCTTTCCCCGAACAGAAATCCATAACCATTTCAAACCATGGTTTTGAAATTTTGTCTGCAGCTTCTCTCTATGAAGCTTCTCTCTCTGTATGGTGTGAGCAGTCATAAAATATTGTGTATTCAGAAGAAATTATTTCAGATAAAATTTACCTTAAAATAGTGACCTTAGTTTATCAGCATTATCCTGCACGTCCACTGAACTTTTTTGTGCTTGTTCCCCTGTTCTGTATACTGTGTTGAAATACCTCCAGCTACTTCTTCCTGTCTCCACTCTCCCTGTTCTCACTCATCCCTGTTCCTCAACATAGGGAGCCAAGTGCTGTTGTTTAATTCTGTGTTAAAATTTGTCCAGTTTCCATTGCAACTTGCACTGAAATCCTGTCCTTCTTACCCTCTGCCTTTTCTAAAGGCAGCTGTGGAGAAGTTCTTTGTTAACCCATACAGGCAGCTTGGTTGCCATGATGTGGGTAACACATAATTGTTGGATTCTTCACAGGCCATAAAATATATGACAGCTCAGTTTGAAAATTTCTAGTTTTCTGTGATTCTCTGCCTATGCACGGAGAGGCTTCATGAAATTAAAACTAAGAACCCATTGATTTTCACTCCATGTGAGTTAGGTGCTGTTTGGGAAGGTTTCATCTGTGCTGGGAGCAGATACCAGTCTGTGTTCTCTGCTGCTCTGTGCACTGAGACCAGGCTGTGGCAACACCCCTGAAGCACATGTAATATAACATAAAGCTAAGGCATTTGTTAACCAATTGTATATTTGAGGTCAATGAAGCCAGATTTAGCTTTACAGCTGTCTGTTTAAACCTCATTTATTGATGCTGTTTTGTTACCTTCAGTCAGGGATTTGTTTTCCCTTAGCTGGTAGAAGAGGGAATGGTGTTCAGGTGAGCAGCAGCATCATTTAATGGGTCCTGTGGTCCTGTTAGCAGTTCTTTTTGTGTTTCAGAGATCTGCACATTTTTCTGCTCTATTTGTAGATGTGCTGTTTCTTGCATCAAATATGGCTGACACTGAAAATTATTTTTTGCTTTCACTTGATTTGTCCTAGAAGATTTTGATTTTTATAACAATTGTGCTTTCTTGTTTCATTTTTGTCCCCTACATATATATATATATATACACATATCTATATCTATATATCTATATCTATATATATATATATATATATATATATATATATATATATACACACACATCTTGCTGTTACCATTCCTAAACCAGAACATCATTCCTGTTGAGCTAGAAATTGGACTTCTTTCTTTCAACATTATTTGTCTAGTTGGAAGCTAGGAAAGAAAACAATATAAAGATTTGCTTTTGTAAGCCTCACATGCAAACATTTGTGTGTTTGCTTTACTGTAGGCCTATGGGCATTTTCTGAGATTATAATTGATTAAATATGTACTTTATAGCAGAAGGATAATTCTGAAGGAGGCAAAATGCATTGCTCTATTTATGTCAATTCCTTCCAGAGCCCTTCAATCTCTTTTAAAAAAGCCATGACAGAATACCTCCTACTGTTTATTGTCCTAATTCTAGTTTGAGCTCACCATTACATGGTAAATGGTTAAACAGAGGACAGTTGTTACATAAAAAGATGTAATTTTACAGGAATTCAAAATCTCATATGCAATGTAGATGTTTGATGGTTTGAGAGTATCTACAGGGCTTCCTCATAGCATGCATTCTTTTGGTTATTAATGTCTTTAGATGTAGGTAGGAAGAATTCCTTCCCACAGCTTTCAATACATTCCTTCCTGAAGAAAGGTGGATGCCAAGGGGAGCTGTGTGCAGGATGAAGGTGATTGTGAAAGTGCTTAAGTTGAAACAGAGCAAACAGTTTTATTTGATGCTAACAGAATATTCACCTGTGTAGCTACTTAACATTTAGAAAAACTGGAGCAAAGAGGTGTGTGTGTTATGAATAACAAGTCAAAGTTAGAGTAGGCATTTAGAAGGGAAAGTGCAGTCACACTTCTTCTAACCAACCATTGCTAAAGGCAGTAGAGGCTTCCAGGGTGGCACAGTGTTGGCATCTTTAGAGTGACAGCAGTTCTCTTACTTACCAGATGTGTACATTTTTATGGTACAAGTAGGGGGGAGGAAAAGGAAAGGTTAGCCATAAATATGTATTTTATAAGGGATCTTGAAATTGAAATAGAACTTCTCTGGAAATTTTCCTTTCAATTACAACAGAGGAGAGAGAGTATGAACTCTTAAGACAAAATGTAAGGGAGCTCCAAATAAATACAACTTCAAATGTAACAGCTTTGCAATTTCTTTCCAGATTGTGAACGTGTCACGCTTAGTTGGTGTTGATAACCCTGTGGAGCTGATCTACTTTGTGGAGGACCAAGATGGGGAGAGGCTGAGTGCTCTGAAGTGCTCAGACCTGATGAACAGAGTGGACATCCAGCGGGCTGCCATCATCCTTGGGTACCGCATCGAGGGCAGCGTTGCACAGCGTAAGCCGTGTGTCATCCCCACCTCTGCCAAGCCCTGTGTATCCACACCTCTGCCAAGCCCTGTGCCATCCCCACACCACTGCCAAGCCCTATGCCATCCCTACACCTCTGCCAAGCCCTGTGCCATCCCCACACCACTGCCAAGCCCTATGCCATCCCTACACCTCTGCCAAGCCCTGTGCCATCCCCACACCACTGCCAAGCCCTATGCCATCCCTACACCTCTGCCAAGCCCTGTGCCATCCCCACACCACTGCCAAGCCCTATGCCATCCCTACACCTCTGCCAAGCCCTGTGCCATCCCCACACCACTGCCAAGCCCTATGCCATCCCTACACCTCTGCCAAGCCCTGTGCCATCCCCACACCACTGCCAAGCCCTATGCCATCCCTACACCTCTGCCAAGCCCTGTGCCATCCCCACCTCTGCCAAGCCCTGTGTATCCACACCACTGCCAAGCCCTGTGCCATCCACACCACTGCCAAGCTCTGTCCCATCCTCACACCACTGCCAAGCCATGTCCCATCCACACCTCTGCCAAGCCCTGTGCCATCCCCACACCACTGCCAAGCCCTGTGCTGTCCTCACAACACTGCCAAGCTCTGTCCCGTCCTCACAACACTGCCAAGCTCTGTCCCATCCTCACACCTCTGCCAAGCCCTGTGTCATCCCTACACCACTGCCAAGCCCTGTGTCATCCACACCTCTACCAAGCCTTGTCCCATCCCCACACCACTGCCAAGCCCTATTCCATCCCCACCACTGCCAAGCCCTATTCCATCCCCACCACTGCCAAGCCCTGTGCCATCCCCACACCACTGCCAAGCCCTATTCCATCCCCACCACTGCCAAGCCCTGTGCCATCCCCACACCACTGCCAAGCCCTATTCCATCCCCACCACTGCCAAGCCCTGTGCCATCCCCACACCACTGCCAAGCCCTGTCCTATCCCCACCACTGCCAGCAAAGGCAAACAGGAGGGGTGGATTTACCTGGGCAGGTTATGGCACTGCATGGTGCCCACTGTTGCAGTGCTTTGTTTTTGGAGTGCTGCAGCTTTGCCACTGCTGAGGAAATGAATTTTAGCAGCCTTGCAGTGAGCTGTGCAGTGCTGTTTTGCCTCTCTGAGCTAAGTGTTGCAGCAGGGTCCTTAAGTCCAGCCTCGCTGCATTCACTGCGTGGTTGTGCTGGAAAAGCACAGTGCTGGCTAAAGACCTTCCTGCCATTTCCATGTCATCCTGCTAGGCCAGTATTTCTTTACAGTTTGCCTTGTCCAGGAACTTGCACAAACCCCACAGCTGGGAGTGCATGGGTATGAAATTGATGTTTCCTTTAGTTAGTGTATTCTAGTTGAATGTTTCCTTTAGCAGTTATTCTAACACCAGTTACTGCTTTGTTGTCTGAATTATTTTTTCGGTGAAAGATGTACACTAAGAGTAGTTGAGGCATTTATTTCTTCTGTGGAATATGATTGACCTTGGTTTTTCTTGTTTGTCCATCAGCAGTATATAAGTAATATGATCTTTTAATGAATATAATATAAAAGTAATGTGATTTTTTTACTAGATACCCATCAGAATAAATAGGATAGGTCATGTAAACTCATTTAATTACTTTATTCAGGAGGCTTGGTATATAAATAGTTAAACCCATTTTCAGTTAGTAGCGAGACAGAATACCTACTCAAAATTCTGTGTTACCTTTAAGTTTCTTTCCTATTTGTATCTGAGGAAGAGACAAGTATGATCTGCAAAATACCTCATTGGTATGAAGGTTTAATTACCTTTTCTCATTTCTGTGCAATATGGAGGCATGAGTTACATGGTACCACAGGGTATTTTGCCAACAGAGCAAGCATGTGTAAGAGATTTAAAATTCTCTGCAGAAAGAAAAGAAAGAAAATAGTAATAATTGTACCATCTGTATGTGTTTCTAAATTTTGTCCCTCTTTAAAACACTTGTGTACAGATAGGTCAGTAGCTCATATACATCTCATCAATATCCATTAATGGACTGTAATGCTGGTTAGATGGAAGTGAAAAACGATGCAAGAGTAAATTCTCTTTACAAAAATGATAAATGTTGAACAAACTCATAAAGTGTTCATAGCTTATAGTGCATGTTGGAAATTTTTATCTTTGACCTGTCATTCGAAAGTTCTTCTAAGAGTCATAGAGTCATAAAAATCCTTAAATGCTTCTATTGGAAGAAACTAGAACAAAAAAATAGAAATACTCTTTTTAACTTGAAAACATCATTTTTAGAAAGTACATCAATTTGATTAGAAATGTATTATTACTATGATTTTTTAGTCCCATGATTAACCACTGTGCAAAATTAACAAATAAAAGTTTTGTCATTTATTTCAGTTTATCTTTTGCAAGAATAACTTGTTTGATTACACTTCCCAGCAGTTTTGTTTTCTGCTTGGGGCTAAAGGATCTCACACACTGACAATAAAACAGAGGGAAGAAAAAAAGTAATCAGCAATGCAGAACTGTACACATTGTGGAGGAGGTTCAAATTGGTTTTGATAACAGAATGTTAAAGAGAAGAGGCAGCTGGTAATACTGTCTAAGGCAGGAAACAGGCAGCAATGTTGGAAAGTCTATCTTACCTTTGCTAGTGGTAGAATAATTTTTTTAGACCCCTTTCACTATGTCAACTTAGCTTTGGGTTACAGGATGATGTGACAGAAGAGCCATTTTCATTAGTATTTTAAGTACAGCTCTTCAGAAGGTGGGCCAGGACAATTGATCTCCTGCCCCATGCTTCCTGAGCCCTTAACTTACAATGGAATGGCATTTCCTGTGATGTGCAGCTGGTTTCTGATAAACTCCTTAACTAGCATTTACAAGAACATAAAAATACATAACCTTGAAGTGTCCTCAGTTGGAAATATAACCATGTAATATTGCTGTGTTCCTTTTCACTTTCCAGCTGTGGAGAGGCTGAAGGAGCCCACGTCAGAGACTCAGAACAGCAACCTCTGGATTATCGTTGGGGTGGCAGTCCCAGTTGCTGTGGTGCTCCTGATTGTTATTATTTTATACTGGAAACTCTGCAGGACAGACAAGCTGGAGTTTCAGCCAGACACAGTGAGCAACATCCAGCAGCGACAGAAGGTAAACGGGGAAGCTGTGCTGAGAGAAGCTGGGGTATTCTAAAAACAAAGGAATGTGAGACTATGGGGAGCACCTGGCATCCTTAACTAGCATGTGTAAACACAGTTTGAGAGCATTCCAGTTTAGAGGGAAAAAAAAAAAAAGAAGGAGGGAAGCAGTCTAATGATAGTTGAAGTTACGAATCCCATAGTGTTTTATTTATTCTCCTGGGTATTTGATATTGCATTAGATAGATCCATCCTTCTGAAATGTGGGCACTGAGGCTGAAAGGAACTCGTCTTTATCACTTCATTTCAAGGCTGTGGCTGGGACTAAATAAGAAGAAATGTACTGAGTCTTGAATCACTGACCTTGTTTTCCCCAGAAGGCTGAATTTTTCTTTGGAGAGTTTCTGCTAACCAAATCTGACAGCTAAAGTGCACCACCCATCATACATCATCCTGGAACTAGAATTTGCTAGAACCTGTCCTGGCTGCTATGTGTTCTGCCAGGGCTGTTTTTATTGCAATTTTGAGAACCTGTTGCAGTACTGGCACATAAATTAGTGGATCTGTATGTGCCTGCATAAGGAGCTTGTTGGCCAGTTGGTTAGGATAGTGAGAAATTCAGTACTCTTGTCTTTCTCTTGCCCAAGAGTGTAAATCAAAAAATTTGTGATCCAGGTTTTTCACAAAGGATGTATTCAGTAAAAAGAAAGATAAAATGTCTGAAAGGTTACTTTATTTTTACAACCAAAGAGAACCTATGTGTGTCAGAAATTCTTGTTACAGACTATACCTTCAGAAGCATTAATAAAGGCAGAGTAATCTGCCTGTGCTAATCCTGTGGTACTGCAGTCACATTCTGCTCTGTGACCTCGTGTTCAGTCACACAGTTTTCTCCATAACAAGCCTTGTCTGTACACCATGCTCTCTTTTCAAGATAATTAACGATGTGAAAGATGAGAGGACCAGAAAGCGCTCGCACTTCCAAAGCAGTCAGAACAAATCAATAGCAACTTCCACTTGTCTTGTGACTGAGAATTGTGTGTTGGAATCCAGGCTGGCAACAAGTGGTACCCTTTGATGAACACCACCCCCTGGTGCCTTGTTTCACCTCTGCTGGGGTAATATGTAACGCAGTTTTTTGACTGAGGAAGTTCCCCACAGTAGTTTTGACTAATTTGAGAAGGGTCATACAAGAGAGGGCTGTTACCCTCAGTACTCTGTTTGATCACTTTTTCTGTTCCTCTCTGCTAGCACAAGCTTTTTTTGTGAGGAAGCTGTTGGGTTGTATTGGCTGTAAGGCCAGAAACATCTTTCATGTAATTACTTCCTTTTAAGAAAATGGCTCAGTTGCTTTTCCCCACTGCTTCCACAGTACTCTTCATCTTAATCATTCATGAGTCAGAAGCCTCAAACTTGTTTATATGCAGGTCTCATTTTGGATTGCCTAGGGAACTTGTCACTTTGCCTTCTTTGGGGAAGTTGCTGTAAGCAAACTAGAAAGAACCAGTAAGGACATCCAGTTCCATCCTTGTGCCACTGGAGGTAAAGCAATAAAAAGTGTCTTAAATTTTTATCACTTTGCACATCAGGCAGCTGGAAGAACCTACTTTGCAGACCATTTCCTCCTTTCCCTGGAATAAAAGCAGTATTCTGGATTCCTTACTGTCAGGCTGTCATTGGGATTTCATGTCTTCAAACAGTGGGCTGGAATTCTGGGTCAGAATAGGGCGTATTTAACCACCACCAAAGACCCCCAGACAGTAAAAACAGCACACAAATTATTGGGGACATTTTATCTGATCCTTTAAAATTTTGCTCTGCCTTTTAAGATTTTCTATGTATTTTATACTTTTTATTAGAGTAAATGCAAATAAGTAATCAAAGGAGTGTCATCATTAGTGGTCTGGTATTTATGTCTGTAAACTCCATAAAAATGGACTAGGCTTCCTCTTCCTCACCACAGCCACATTTCCATTCTCTATTTTCAGAGCTTGACCTTGCTACTGAAGGAAGGTGAAAGCCTGCAATACATCTGTAAATAGAAAGATATTTAGATTAAAGATCTGAGTTTTTCTCTTGGAATCTATATTTCATGTTGTAAAAAAACGTAAAGATGTATTTATAGTGTGCTAGCTCTTCTCACTGCCATTAATATTTAACAAAAATTCATGTAAATATAGAGTTTGTCATTAGCATAGATATGACTGGAAATAGGAGACAATACTTTTCAGCCTTGTGATAAGTCTGTAATGTGTTTTGTGCTTGAAAATGTGTGTTGATTGGCTGATAAGAAACTGAGACACCTGTTTCTTGTTTGGCTGATACCAGATATCCTGCTGCTGGTGGATCTCCAGGGGTGTCAACAATCTTTCTTCAGTATCTTCAATTAGCCGCTTTAACATAGCAGTTCAGTGGGCAGCATAATGATCTGTTAGAATTTACAGTAGCAGCTGAGAGCAAATTATGTTACCTGTGACTTAAAAGAAGGGGAAAAGCCTGTGTGCTTCGTGCTGCAGAGACAAGACTAGAAGGATGGTTTCTTGGAACATGGAGAGAGAGAGAACTCTGTAAATGTACTGGAAATGTGGATTGCATAAGTAAGCCACTGGTTGTGCAGGAGCTTTTTATTCTTTGTTAGAATCTCTCTTACAAATTGCATTATCCTCTTCAGGGAGATCCTTAGACCCTACAAATTTTACTGGATTCCATATCCCCATGTGTCAGTCATATGCTTCCTTTCTTCTCTGCTCTCATTTAATTGTTTCATTCTGCTTTGAAACTCTTGGATTTTCCTGAAGCATTTTGGTATTCACTGAAACAATATAAGTTTTATTTTTAATCTTCTATATGTAAAGATTTACTTATACAGAGTAGGTGTGATTTCTGTGTTCCTATGAACACCATTACAAGTAAGTCATAAACTTCATAACTTTACAGTCTATCTTCTGATGGAGTCCACTGCTATTATCTGCTGGCAATTAGACCCTACATGACTTTTGGGTGTGTGGGGTTTGGCTGCTGGGGTGCACCTTGGTGAGGTGGGTGAAATACTCCTGCAAAGAGTATTTAGAGGGAGCCTGTTATTAAGGGATTTTTTTATTTATCTGCTGCCTCAGTGAATATAAACATAAGTACATGGGAAAGAAATCTTTTGTGGGAACTGATGCTAGCAAAGCCAGGTTGCATCATGAAGTAAGGAAAAATAAAGGATCTTGAAGAGATTGTGATTTGCTAATCCATCAATTTGCGTCAGAACAGGATTAATGACACCTGTAAAATGTTAGGTTTCCATTGTGGAGATTAAATGGGAAAAGATGCTTAGATCAAAGTTGTTTTTATGCTTCTTAAACTGAGAATTAAGGAAACAGGGGAGAGCAGTGAATCCATGCAAGATTCATTGGTCTGTGCAAGGATAATTCTTTTGAAGAGATGATACTAAGATATTTAAAGGGCACATCAAATATTCATGACTTGTTCTGTAAGCCATAGCATCCTACTGGAAATTCACCTTGATGTGACCTGGGCTGTTGCTCTGGATTAAGATGTCCTTGCCTTACAAAATAAAAAGATGCACAAGTGGTATATTTAAATAACAAGACTTTTTCTCTTGCCATTGCCTGTATCCACCTATATGCCTATATGCTTATATGTTGTTGCTTAGGGTTTTAGTGGAAAGTGTTTTTTGTACGGGTGATTAGGTAGAAAGGGTTTACGATTTGATTGTATTTGGGAATATGTATTTTTAAAAAACTTATGGCACTTAGGAAAGTTTGTGGGTTTTTTTTTGTTGGATGGTGGAGATATTGTTGTGATTTTGTTGATGACATTGGTGGGAATTTGACGCTGTTTGTTTTGCTATTTTACTTTTAGAAACTGGATTTTTGGAGCAGGTTTTTTGACTTCGTTTTTTTTGATGGTGAAGCTAGTTTTTAGGAGAATTTGGATGATTTTTTTTTAACATTTTTGCTGTTGTCCTTTTTTACACAATGATCTTATTAATATATTGTAGGTGTTTTGGAGTTTTACTTTTTTTAGTGTAGTTTGGATTAGTTTATGGCAGATGGTGGGGTTGTGTTTTTATTTTTGGGGTAGTTGGTTTTAGGTGTATTGTGCGCTTTTTTAGGTGAAAGTAAATTGAGGCTTGTATTTCGTTGTTAGAGGAATGGAGAAAAATGCATTGGTAATGTTTATAGTGGTGTATTATTTTGCTGCTTTGGACTTTAGTTTGTATTGGAATTTTAGTATGTTTGATACAGCAGCGTTTAGGGGTGGAGTTACTTTATTTAATGTATGATAGTTTACTGTTAATTTTTTTTTTTTTTGATTTATGTAAAAATTGTCATTGTCCCAACCTTTTGCTTGTCCCAAGCCTTTTTTTTCCTGCAAAGAAGCTGTGCCTTTTGTGGGCAACTGAATTTTTCTTCATGAAAAACTCAATGAACTTCTTTAATGCCTGAATCATCATTTTGCTCTGTACCTGTACTGGGCCTCTTATGTTTTTGTGCAAAACCACTTCTTTTCCCCAGAGAGCTAAACAACCATTTTACATGTTATCCACAATGGAAACAGAGTCAGCAGTATTGTTTCTTTCTCTCTGGACATCCAAAAATTAAAGTGGAGCTTGCTTCTCTAGGGGTTTCACTTTCCTTTCTGTGTTACAAGCATTTGAAGAAAAATGTCAGATCCCTTCCTAGGACTTCTCAGAGATAATTTCAGCTATAGACAATTATTCAGGGAAAGGCTCCCTGCCCTAATGGCAAGAACTGGACAAGCTAAGTGGCAGTTTATTTAGAATATCTTGGATGTTCTCCTGTAAAAGCTGGGTGTGCTGAAGTCATTGCTTTTGCAGTGATAGCTTTGAGTGGCTTGCTCAGTTCCTTGTGTATCCAAGGGCACATCATAAAACCCATGGGGAATGGGGGTTCGCTTCTCCAGTGATCCTTCTGGAGCCTTCTGCATGCCACTGTGCTTCCTAGAGACTGACTGTGTCTTTCTGGTTCAGTGTCCCTCCTG